ATACCTGTAATCTCAGTATAAGGAGGTTGAGGCAAGAGAATCAGAAGTTCAAGGGTGATCTTCAGCTACATGGCAAGTTCCAGGTCACCCTGGGCTACATGTGACTCTGTCTCAAAAAGAGGGGCAGGGGAGCAAACAAAGCAATTGGACTTAGAAAACTCCATATGATTGTCTCAAAGCACTCTTTGTTTTGATTTTCAAAGACATACTTCAGATAGAAAATAACCTCCTTCCTGAAGATAAAACACTGTGGGTCAGGGCTAGCTTACCTCTGGTGGTTAAATATATTTAATGATACTACAATTATTGAAATGGTCAGTGGTATAACCAATGTACCTTGAGCCTCTCTGGTTATCAGACTATAAAATAATGGGCCTGGAGAACGTAGTGTTTCCCTAGGATCGCCTCCTTGGAAGTAGAAACATCTGAAACCCCAGGAACTTTACAACTTGTCAGGCAATCTTGAAGGAGAGACTTGAGGCTAAGCCACTGCTGGGCAGAAGCATCCTTGGGCCTGATTGCTTAGCTCTGCACACCCCCTGCTTTCTGTTTAAACCATACCCTGAAGACAGGACAAGAATATGGATTTGGGGAGTTGCTGTATCTCTTTGGGCCCATCTCAGTGTGGTCGCACTGAATAAATCCCCTTCTCTTGCCTTCACTATTAAATTGGCTCTCTTTATGGGCTCAACCAGGACAAGTAGCCAAACCTGACTTGTTGGGGACACAGGCTGCGATCCGAAGTATAGTGACAGTAGGACTCACAGGAAGAGGAGATGGATGGGGAGAAGACAAGGCTTCATTCTCCCATACAAAACTGACAGGTCTGTGGCTGCAATCCTGGAGTCAACAGTTCAAGGTTGTTGCTTTGATTGTTCCACTGGGTAAGGGTCACAAGTCCCACCCCCAAACAAAAACCCCAGTATTTACAGCATTTTTTTTTTCTGAGACAGGGTTTCTCTGTGTAGATTTGCGCCTTTCCTGGATCTCGCTCTGTAGACCAGGCTGACCTCGAACTCACAAAGATCCTCCTGACTCTGCCTCCCAAGTGCTGGGATTAAAGGCCTGCGTCACCACCGCCCTGCTTACAGCATTCTAAAGAATAGCTGGGAGTGGGTTGGATAAAGAGATTAGTGTCTTGTTGGCATTCAGAGTGAGTCTGTCTCTTTTATTTGTTTCTGTAAGTACTGATTACATCTGCAGAGGACACGCTCTCTGTTCCAGGGATCTCTAAAGTGAGAACAGTGGGTGGGCGGGCTGGAGATAGGAGGAAAGCATCCTGCACCAGCGGCCTGAAGAGGAGGCAGACAAAAAGCCAGTGTTGTTGCCAGGCTGAAGAGCTTTACAGCAGTATCCAGAGAGCCACAGGCAACACAAAATCTTGTCAAGAAGGGAAAGGTCCCTCCTCAGAACCTGAGGAGGCAAGCATTTGTTTCTATAAAATGGGGGAAATAGGGCCATGGAGGTGGCTCACTGGGTGATGGCACTTCCTGCTGGGCCTAAGATCCGGAGAATCAACACTGAATTCAAATGGTGGAAGAAGAGAACCAGTTCCCATGAGTTGTTATCTGAGCTAGACACATACATACCTTCTCCCCAACCTCTCTCTCTCTCTCTCTCTCTCTCTCTCTCTCTCTCTCTCTCTCTCTCTCTCTCTCTCTCTCCATAATCAGTTAATTAGTACAGTAAATGAAACAAGAGCATCAGGAAATGCCATGGAGTTCCAGTAGGGAGAGAAAGGCTCACCAAGAACAGCGTCCATGAGCCACCAGCACTGGGGTACCCTCCCATGGCCCCACTGCTTCAGCCTGGTGTCAGGTTACCTCTTGGAGTCTGGCCCAAGAAGCCTCTGGTGGCACTGTCCATCTTTTCACCTGCATACGCGTCAGCCAGTCAGCACCAGCATGCAGTCTGAAAGGTGGTGACTCTTGCTGATTCTTAGGCAGAGGAACTGTTCGAAACCATTTGAGTCAGGCTTCTGTCTTCCCAGGCAGCCCCAAGTTAGTTTTTCCACACTGACACTAGTTCCACTTCTTGAAAACGTTACAGAAAAGTCTGAATATTTAGCACATTCTCTCCACTGTGGAGGACTAGGAACATAATTAAAATTTCTTGCCTACTCACCATTACTCGTAATAAAGAGAATCTTGAATGTACTTTTGAAGACAGATAGACTCTTATTATGTGAGAACTCGATAGTTCCTGTAGATAATCTTAAGCAGTGCTGTGAAGTTTCTCCTTCCCTCTGAATTCTGTCCTCAACATGGGTTAGTCACAGAACCATTGTCTTAGTGAAATACATAATTTACAAAGTCAAAATATTTGACCCTTATCTAGTAATCTTCAGAGCAGTTGATTTCTACACCTTCCAACTATATGACCCAGGATGAAGGACAGCACACACGCAGACACACACACACACACACACACACACACACACACACACACACACACACACACACACATCACTTCGCTTTTCTATAACTCCATGATATCTTTAATAAACCAATAAGATAAAATATATCCCAAGTTTAATTTTCTCATCGACGTCAACACAGCATGGATATCTCTAGAGCTCTGCTCCCAGCATGAGATCTACTGTTCTGAGAAAATTACCAAGTCATTTCCAAACTAGAGGAGAATGCTGAGGAGTATTGAACCTTTCCAAGCAAGTTTCAAAGGATCTTTGGTGTTCAGTCATTTGTAAGCTGATGAAAGAAATTCTCTTGTCAGAGTTTACATAAGATGTCATGTTTGTGGGCTGGAACTGGCCCAGAAGCACTGCTCTTGTAGAAAATCTGAGATTGGTTCCCAGTACCCACTTGGAGCACCTCACAATCATTTATAACTCAGGATCCAGGTGATCCAACACCCTCTTCTGGTCTTCATGGGTAACTATAGTCATATATGTGGACAAACACATGTAAATATAGCTACAATATTTAATAATTTTGTAAATTATTATAAAAATCTTAAAAATATACTGTGCTGGTACCAGGGTATTGTCCTAGTAATGGGACCTGTGTGTTGTTAGATTCCTGTAGGAAATACAGGTAAGTGTTACTTTTGAAGGCAGTTCAGGTCAAACACTAGCCTGTCTTCTATGGTCCCTTCTACTAGACATGGATTTTAAATGCCGGTCACTTGATGCCCCTCAGTACTCACAGGCTGCCCTGCAAATATAGGGCAGTTGCATTGCTCTGCCTGGATTATTCCTCAGGGGCAAGAGAGACAGAGACAGACCACAATGATCCAGTTTATTTCTTATGTTAGTCTCTTTGCATGCTCTTAAAAAAAAAAAAGTGGGAAATGAAGGTTACAGAAAGAACACTTTCTTGTTTTCATTTCTCCCAGACACCCATGACTAAAAATATCTGGTCTTAGTCTAAGGGAAGCAAGGTTAAAGCCACTGATCTCTCTGTTCCTTTATAGTTGAAGATGCGAGGCTTGAATAGCCTGTTCCTAAAGTTCTTGACAACCCGCCTGTTGGCTTTGCTCATAGGTGTAATTTTTTTTTTCTTCTTTAATCACCACCAAAGAAGTATACTTGGCTTTTACTTTTGTTTGTAGAAACTCACCTTTAAGTCATGAAATGTCAGTTGTTTCTCCTCTCTCTGGCCCTGCTGTCATGGCAAGACAAACACATCCACCCATCCCTATCAATCCCTGTTGACAGGCAGCCAGCGGTTATCACAAATTAGGGTCTCCTTGCTGTGTCCTTGGCCAGACTCACCCTCGGTGCAAGAAACACTTTGTGCCTTTGGACTCGGAAGAATTTCAGAGAAGGCATCCAGCTATGGTACAGTGGCTCTGTTAGGGGCTTCCAAAATGCCACTAAAACATACTGGCATGACTACCCAATGTGCCCTCCCTATGTCTGGATGATTTGATGGAGACTACATTGTTTGGATATAGGATTCTACAGGGAAGAGTAGTAAAGGAGGCAACAGACTTCCTGGTACAGTCACTGAGTAAAGGGAAGAGACGCCACGGCTCCATTACCAGCCTCTGCCGCCAGTTCTGTACCAAACATTGAAACAAATTGGGCTCTTCTTTCTGAAGAGCTATTCAAGCCACAGACACCTCATCAGTGGGCTCCCTCCTGCTGCAGGAATGTGTACCTTTGACTCTCCCAGGAGTTTGGAGGGCTGTAAAGGAACAGCTGAGAAAGACCACAGACTCCATGCACAATGAATCGAACATGGTCTAGGTGCTTTGGTTAACTTAAAGAGACACTGTCAAGAGCTAAAGGTCAAAAATCGGACCAAACATGCACCGATTTTTTATCAGACTTGAATGTCTGATAAAAATCATATAGAATGCTGGGAAATTTGTTTTTATTTATTTGTAAAATTTGCTTTTAAGTGGGACTCACAAAACCTTTGTTTTGTGTTCCCCAAGGTGGGGGAGACGCCCAGCTCATGTTGGCACCCACCCTCGCGCGCCCACGTTGTGGAACTTTTCATAAATTTCAGCTATAGCTTTTACTTCAATGCAGACAGGATCATTTCAAACATTTGCGCAACAGCAAAAAAGAAAAAAGAAAAAGGCAAAAGGAAAAGAAAAGAAAAAAGGGCTCTGTTTGCCAAGGAGAAGCTGACAAATTTGTTGAGGGGAAGATTCACTTTCGAGCTCATGAGTGGGAGTCACCGACCAAAGTGAATCCTTTAAGCTGCGGGGAGTGCTGCATTGGAACAGAAAATAAGCAGAGAAACTAACGGCTTGACAGTGTCCTTTTAAGAACAATGGACAATCAGCTAAGGCAGTCGTGCAAACCACGGCACGTCCACGAGTCCCTCATTCTTGATAGCATGCACCACATTTGGTTCCATGTTAGAGAGTGGAAATACCCAGGAGAGAGAAAGCAAGAGGCAAAACAGTCCATGTCCATGCAGCTTCTCTTACACATTCACTGCAGTGTGGGGGTTTTCAAAGCTGCACATGTGCCGACGGACACTGGCTGCTGGGCGGGAATTCTGGCTGCCTCTTCCTGAAGAGTGAAAAGAGAAAGCAAGGGGTTAAACAACATGTGCCACAGCTATGGTGATTGCACCACTGAGGAGGTACCTGGTCCAGGGTCGGGCCAGGCCTGGCTCCTGAACCTTTCTCCGTGGCTCTGCTTCTATGTCCTGCTTGGAATTGCAATTATGGCTGTTTCATTGGCAATGGCAAGTAATATTGATGGAGTCACTTTTCCATCATAGAAACATCTCTTTTTAATGCTCTGTGGATCTCTACTAGACTAGCTCTTTCCATTCCATTCACTGTTAACATGCTACTTTAGGAGGCAGTAGACTGTCATATAGGTTGTCTTTTTTGCTGCCATTTTTCTTCATGGAAGCTCCTGAATTTTTATTTGAAACCATGGCTTTCCTTTGCATTGTGCATTGTCTAGCATGTTAGTCTATCATTAAGGTATGGCCGCCACTTCATTTCTTGTGCTCACAAGATTGTTCATGTGTAATAGTGGAGTGTCAAGAAATCCACCTTGTTGAGATTGTGGGAATCTGCTGCAAAGGGACATGCCATCTCATCCTCTGGCTGATATTTCCTTGTACAGCAAACAGGGTGATCTGTACACTGTGTCATTTTTGGCAAGAGAGAAGAATACTTTTTAGACAAGGCGAGGCTGATGGGGCAGCCATGGGGAGGTAGACTAAGGAGAGGCAGTTCCCCAAGAGTAACACCAAAATAGTGGTAGGAAAGCTATCTTGTCATGCCACACAGGAGGGCTATCTATCCTGGAAAAGACCTTCAGGCGTAAGATGCTCAGGATGAACCATCAACGTGAACTCTTGGTGATATGGAGGACAGTGGTAGAGTTCAAGAGAAGTTTCACACATTAGGAAATTCTGTAATTTTTTATTTCCCTGTAGGTTTCCCCAATGAACTCACACATGTGTTATATTAAGTCTGTATTTGACCACCTACTCTAGTCTTTGGTGATAGTCCTGCAGGGTTAGCCAGAGAGGGCCATGGCAGTTCCTCATCCCATCAAAACAGAAGAGTAGAGCCTTAGGAGGAGAAACAGGAGGAGAAAAGAGAATAGGAGGAAGGGAAAGTCAAAGAGGGGATGCCAGGAACAAACGATCATGGCTCTTCTCACAGTCAAAGTTTTTCAGCCTGATGTCTAACAGGTGCTGAGAAGTTGAGCTGTGAGTGTGAAACCTCCATGTAGAATTATCATTTGTTACCCTTGAGAAGCAAGGAATCTGATCTGAGTTTATATGATGAGGAAAGATTTTTTATGCATACTTGAATACGATAGAGAAAAACAAAACAAAACAAAACTGACCAATGAATAGATTGCTACCAAACTGCAAGCACTCATAAACCATTTGAAAGTATATGCTGAATTCTACAATTTGAAATTCTTGTCCAGAAGTGAGAAATAGAGACAAGTTGGTGAAAGTTTATACCTACTGAGAGAACCCATTCATTTTTTTTTTAAATCAGACAGACCATGTTTGCTGTTTAACTTGCCAAACTAAACTAACAATGACATCCAACCTGCCAACCTGAAATCACAAATACCATTTAAAAATGAACAGCAAAGAGGGGCAATGAGGAGAAAATCCTGCTTGAATATATAAACAAAAGTAGGAGAGAAGACTTAACTTGTAAAATATTGCTAAAACTTTCTTTCCTAAGAAAGAAGCTGGAGAGCATGTCCAAAGCACTGGGCTTTTGTTTTGCTGGAAACTGCCTGCATTCATTTGACTTTAAAATGAACTCTGCTTTGGAGAAATGTCTACAGATTGGCCTGGTCAAATGGTGTCAGGCAGCAGGGTTCCTGGCAGGGCAAGCTTCAGAAGCCCGAGATCCAACAGAGCCCTACATTTGCTGTTCATTATTCTGGGATCAGCCTCTTAAAATTCGTGTCAATTTATCTTTAAATTTGTGTTCTGTAATGGGGGAGGAGAAAATGGAACATGTCTTGGAGCATCAACTCAGTGTTCTTATTTTACTTGCATGGATCTTTGGCTATCTGCTCTCTTGTCCTTTAGGTCCCAGTCATTTTAGCCTCTCATCCCTACAGATGGCAAGGTATCACCATAGCCTTCCAAGGCAGGGATCTTGGGCACAAGCCCCAGAAGGACCTACATGTGTTACCATGTGCCCTGTGGAGGTAAGTGGAAGTTTCTCTCTCTCTCTCTCTCTCTCTCTCTCTCTCTCTCTCTCTCTCTCTCTCTCTCTCTCTCTCTCTCTCAACATTTAGGCAAACTACAGGGTAGGAGTGGACCTCTTACCCATCCTTGATCCAGATGCTTCAGATGTCTCTGAACTGGTGGAATACTCTGGAGTTCACATATCTAACATGGATCAGGTAGGAAGCACATGAAATAAAGAGGCAAATCACTTTGAGTTCCCCATGGTACCTGCACAGGGATTGACTGGGAGTAGAACTTTGCATCTTGGAGGGTGCACATGTGTAATTCCCAGGATGGGTAGCTGGGGTCACAACTAGAATGAGTGATTTGCCCCCCGGGAATGTCTTTCTGTACAAGTAAACATGACATTAAATGGCAAACGTAAAACAGAGAGAATATGCAGTGAGGGGTAATAGGTTTGCGTTGTACCTTCATCACTTCTCCAGCTTTCGAACTAAGGACTTCATGTCTTAGTTTTGCACTGGACCTTGCAAGTGATGTAGCAAGGGCTGCCTGCTAGTAATAAACAACACACAAACAAGGTGAGGACTGCCCTGGAAGCCTGGAGTCCTGACATGCATACCACCTCTGCACAGGTGCGCTAATCTGCATGCTGGGGCAGCACCTGCATTTCTGTGGTCCCCGGAGGGGCTGTGATAAAAAGCTCCAGAGTCTCTGTGGCTGACTCTCTCTTTTGGGGGCTACATCTGCATTTAGTGAACAGTTTGTGGTTGCTTTTGGTTTCAGTCAGATGGATGGCTTTATGTAGTAGTAACTGTAAGAATTCCAAAGTCACACTAGGCAACCGTTGACCAAAGCAGTTGAGAAGAGTGCAATCTCCTCCGTGATCTTGAGGTTTTTAATCTCTGACTTTGCCTTTGCATTGAAACAAAATATAGAATACCCCTGCATGTGGGCTTTGAGCTTACAAAAGGAGTGTTTACTAAGGATTATTGGCCAAGGCTTGAAAACTCTGATGCTTAACTGGCCGTTTTACCAGATACAGACATACTGAGAGAAGAAGCTTGGCTTTAGGGTATTTTTAGCAATTGTAAAGCTACATGCTCAATCAACTACAGACTCAGCAAGTCAGAGTAAAAGCTTGGAGGGAAAAAGGAGGCATATGGGGGGCTTGTCAAATATAAGTCCCAAATCTGTGCTGGAATCTCTTGGCACAAATTGTGGATTTAAAGAAACCTCAGAATTTTAGTTAGAAAGATCTTTTCAGCAATTTCTTTTGAAAGTGCAAGGTATCCCTCCTCCCCTCCCCCGTCTTCTTTCCTCTCTATCTTCTGTCCATTTTATATAAAGTTGCTCCTTGTCACAGGCCAATGAACAGTTCATAACTTTCCCCACTTGATTCCATTGTCCAAATAATATCCCTTTGTATAGTAGCCTACATCTCTTTGAGTGTACTTAGCTTCAAACAATTTTGTTTTATTGTGTTATTTTATCTACATTAAACAGTCCTCACATCTGTTTCTGACAGGATGTATCCTTTACGTGAACTTCAGAAATTGCAATAATTGTTTTACTAAGGGTGACATGACATTGGTCACTGGACAAGGAACCCAGGAGACTTGGTGTCTTCAATTAGGTCATCCTCTCTTTCACTGCTCATTTCTCTGTCACTTCTTTAATCCATAAAGGATTGTTGAAGTGGTGTGTGTAAAAGTGGCTCCAGAAAGCAAAGTGCTATTCCAGTTTAAGTCATCACCATGAAAGACAAAGAAAGTCACCTACAGATGAAGCCAACAGTCTCAACTTCAGTGTGTGTTTAGATCACACTAGTTCACCTTCACGTCACAACTTCGGCCATCTTCCTTACTCAAGAATTTCAATAAACATAGCAGCAATTAAACTGAATTTTATTTTTATCCCCATCCAAAATTCTGCTTCTCTTTAGGCAGCATCAGTGACATTGAGTGGATATGTTAGGCAAAAGTAGAATCAGGTGAGTCGCCTTTATCTGGAGCTGCACGTTAGGGTTGGAGGTGAATCTACTTTTAGCAGAGACAGAATGTTCAAAGAAATTCCAGATGGTCAGTCTTAAGGATATATAAAGCTCACCGTGGAAATAATGTGGCAGCTGTCCAAACTAATCATGAGGAATGACAGCAACTCTCAAGACCATGTAAGCAGACTGAGGTCTATTTTTTGATTGTCACTGCCATGGAGAAGTGAGATCATTTATATCTCTGATTGATTTCCAGAAGCCAAGTACATTTTTTTCTATTATCTAATTTTAATATTTATTCCTCAGTGTTCACTTATCAGAGTGGAGAGTGAAACTCTGCACTTAGACATAGGTCTTCTGTGAATGTTAATTTCTTCCACTTTATTTGTAACACACATGTTTAGCATAGTGTATTCCATTTTTTAATAAACATGAATGCAGTCTCTCTGTTATAGTCATAAAATATTGCTCCATTAAAAGTTTTTAATCACTGAGATTTGCAAGCTAATAAGAGACTATGAAAAAGATTTAATAAAAATTTATTTACTACCACAGATTCATCACATATTAAAACCCATTTACTTTGGAAAACACTAAGGATATGTTTCTATATAGTAATCTATATACTAATCCTATTTTAAAGAAAAATTTTTTTCACTTCACCATTTGAAACATTTTAATCTGTTTATAACATTTGTATACCTACGCATTAGAAAACAATACATAGAATTTATATTATAAAATTTTGTATGTATGGCCTCTCTCTACATTTTCATTCAACGATTTCCCTTTTCACATGGTATTATATGCACCGACAACTAGTTCACTACTTAAACTAAACTGAATAAATACAGCCCACAAAAATATCCATTCTTCTATTAATATCTGTTTAGGTTGTTTCCCACATTCTGCTCTTGGGAACAAACACTCCAGCAAATATCCTTGCACATGAATGGTGTGGTTTTTAGCAGCAGGAACCCAGAGGTTGAACCAGCGGGTTGTTCCTTCTATTACCAACACTCCCTACTAAAGTGCCTATGCAGTTTACACTGGTTTGTGAGGATCCGTGTTGTTATTTTTTATTCTATTTACGTTTTCAACCTTTTAAACATTAACTTTTTATTATGAAAAATTTTCTCAAATAAAACTGGAGTCTGCTCAACATAAACCTAGTATACCTCTAGCCAATATCCCAGCCTGGTTTTAACAGTCAATAATGATCAAAGGAAAGCTCGATTATTTTATTACAAGATTACAAAGCAGTGATAGAATTCCACCATCTTTCCAGTGTTTGTCACCTAAATTTCTTCTCTAAAGACATTTATGAACTATTTTCCTTCTTCCAATAATAGCTCAGACAAAAAGTGCAAGTCAGATTGATGATGGCACCATATTTCTCCCACCCTGTGGACTGAAGCTAAGAACCAAGGTAAAAGTTGATTTTTTTCCTTAAGAGGTTTCTGCCAGGTATTTTGATTACAGTCATTAAAAAGTGACTAATACAGAACTATTATACCAGAGAAGTGGGGTCACTGCTTTAACTAAGCCTGTGTCACTTTAGGTATTTGGAAATGATTTGTGGGAGAAAATTGAAAGCGTTTAGAAGTATGAGTTAGAAAGCCCTAGAAAGCTGTAAGCCAAGCTTTATGGGTGAACTTGATAGAATTTCCAACAGTCAGCCTGTATTCATGAGGTCTCAGATGGAAACAAGCACTCCATATGGAGAATTACACTAGAAACTATTTATACTGAATTTTGTTGAACTGTTTGCCTATGTTTGACCTATAATCTGAAAAAGCATATGAAGCTGAATTCAAAAGGAATAGACTAATAAATTTTTATAAAGGAAATTTCAAGATAGCATTACCTGTAGGCTGTGGCTTGGTTATCACTGGCTACTTTTTAACCAGGTTTATAGTGATAATTTGGAGCAAATTAAAGAGCAGAAACATTTATAAAACTGACTATTATTCAGAGAAGGAGTTTTTAAAGTTTCATTCAAAGAGAATTCATTTGTAAAGGAAAATTAGTGCCAATAAAAAGAATAAATAATATTTATTCTTTTCACTGGAGCTATAGAAAAGGTCACTGCGGGCATTTCATAAGTTGGTGAGAACTTGCCTACCAAAGACTCTAGTGTGCAAAATTCCAACCTCACTTGCCTTTCCTTTGAAATGGCACCTAGAAGAAAAATTTCCTAGGTTCAGCCACCCAGACACTAAGAAGAAACTAAAACTCTGATCCAAGGAGGATCAGTTACTGTTTAGCTGGCAGCAGAACTTGATCCTATCCACATGGTTATACAGGTATGCAGAATGTTAAGATTTGTGAAGTTATAGAGTATTTTACCAGTGCCCCACAGAAAACCCTGCAATAGATGCACTGTACACCAGGGTCAAATTCTCTACAGGCTCCCCAGGAAAAGGCTCTGTATGAAGTTGGGAAGGTAAAGCCTCAGTTAAAGTGGAGACCTAAAGTATTGGACATAGCAGGAATATGTGCTGAGAACAGCTGCAGGCACCAAACGGAAGCAGACCAAAGAGAGAAACCATGTGGACCATTGATGGTAAGGCTGTAAGGGTGGAACTGTCCAAGCCCTTTGACACATATGACATTTTCCTCAGATGCTAGACATGGAGATGCAGGATGTAATGGTTTCCCTGATGAGTATACTCTTGCTCTGATCACATCCTTCTGTGCCCCCTTCCTCCTTCTTGAATGGGAATGTTTACTCTGTGCCATTGTATAGTGGAAGCAGATAACTTTCCTTTTGATTTTCCAGGGGTTCACAGCTGAGATATTGTTTTTAGTCTCAACAGAAATTCTGGATGTAGACTTTTGAGCAATGTTGGAAGTATTAAGACTTTGGGGACTGTTAGAGATTGAAAAACAGACATGCAAAGCTAATTCTAAAGAAACCTGGAATAAGGAATCCAATTGATAAGAGAGAGGAGGGATTCTGCACGCAGGGGACGTCGAGATCATGATGGGAAGACGTGCAGAGATGACAGGCCACACTAGTGGAAGCCCATGAACTGTAGAATAGTGCCTGGGGAGCCCCCATGGGTCTGAACTAGGCCCTCTGGATATGGAAGATGGTTGTTTGGCTCGAACTGTTCGGGAGACACCCAGGCAGGGGGATCGAGATCTGTCCCTGGTGCATGGGCAGGTTTTTGGAAATCCGGTGCCTGTGGTGTGACGCCCTGCGCAGCCTTGGTGCAGTGGGAAGGGGCTTGGACCTGCCTAGGCTCAGTGTGCCCGGCTCTGCTGACTCGCCATGGGAGACCTTGATTTGGGGGATGTGAGGATGTGGGGTGGCTTGGGAGGGAGGGCTGAGAGGTGGGAGGTGGGAGGAGGGGGATCTGTGGGTGGTATGTAGAGTAAATAGAAAATTTCTTAATAAAGAAAAATGAAAGAAAAAAATAAAGAAACCTGGAACTTGGGGGAGAATCCTGAAATTCTTGGCTAAAGCACTAACATTGGTATTATACTTTTGTTTCCACTAAGGTTTATTTCATTTTATTTTTCATTAAATAGAGGCACGCTTATCACAAAATTAACTTTTGTGACATCACCCTCAAATCCTCAAAACAAAACAAAAATGTCATGCCGCTATCGTAATGTCAAGAGTATAGTCACCATAGCCTGCTAAATAGTCATAGTGGCATTATAGCTTGCTGAGAATGATTAAAGGGAGAGATTTAAGTGGTATAAAAAAAAGACTTCAACTTTTAGCTAGATACAATACCTTGGAAAAAACCAACTCTTAAGCTAAAAACAACCAAATAAAACGTTTTTCAAAGCCACTTGCCGACATTGGGACGGTGTCATGACAACCAGAATCCCAGGGATCAATAAGTCAGAGGAAGAGAACTTCAGTGGGAGAGCAGATAAGCTTCAAGCTGTTTTTACTCTCAGGATATTTCATGATTCTGGATATAGAACAACAAATAGAGAATCCAAGTAGAAGAACAAAGCAGATGGGGGGATGATGAGAGCCTTTTAATCGGGCTGTTGGCATGTACATTTGAATTTAAGTCTCCCAAAGAAGTCAGACCTTGAGGATCCAAGATCTCGCAAGGAGTGAAGAAAAGAAAGGTGGTGTTGAACGAGTTTTATAAAGTTACAGTCTACATTCAATTCACTTCATTCCACCATCAAACGATACATAAAGAAAAGAAACAGACCCCTAAGCAAGAACAGGCAATCCCTGACTTATACTCTTCTGGCTTTAGGGCACTGTGAACATGTTATACACTCAGTAGAAAGTTTACTTTGAAATTTGAGTTAGGATTAGCCTTCATGAATGAGGCTAATGCCCCTATAAACAGAGTCCAGGGAATTATCTAGCTTCTTTTTCTGCTGTATATATGAAGATATATACAAAGTCTTCATCCAAAGAGAGGGGCCTAGTAAAACCCACCAAATAGCACCCTCACTTGAAATGTGAAGTCTCCAGAGCCATGAGAAATCAATGTGGTTTATAGTAGAAACTGAATGAAGACACATCCTTAAACCACACATAGAAATTAGTCAAGATGTACTGTAGCACTTAAGGTAGGAGTCAAATTCACAAAGCTCATAAATAAAACAGGGAATGCCCTGAAGACCTAGTGACTGGCAAATGTACTTTATAGTGATCATAAAAATAATTAATTGTAAAAAGTAATCATTCTAGCTCCATCAAAATTAATAACTCTCATTCTTCAAAATATATGACCAATAAAATAAAGTATCAAGTCAAAGATACAGAAAAATGTATAATATATATTATCATGGGCTTGTTTTAATATCTAGACTTTTCAGTTCTTTTTATTAATTTATTTCATGGCCTTTGAAGTAAAATATTAATACATGCATAGATTTTAATTATGGTTGATCTATATATGGAACACACCCATATATTCAACATAAAAATTAATTATAGAAATGATGATTAGGGGGCTGAAGAGATAGTTCAACAGAAATACAAAGTTCTTTGATCTCCATGCATGTGTTATAGCATGCAACAAATGCACACACACACACACACACACACACACACACACAAGCATGAGTGCCACACAGAGAATAAATAAATGTAAAAAATTAAATAATGATGTCAAGCATAATTGCAGAACTAAAACTAAATGAGCATTAAAACTGAGAATTCTAGTTCATAATGACTGCACAGTCAGACAATGTAGATATATTAAAACAGGGAGTGTATGAGCAAACACTTTTAAAAAACTTTTCTCAGTACTGAGTTGTTAGTAATGAGGGTAAGTATTGGAGAACACTTGCATGACTGTCATGAGAATGCATGAATATATACTTTTGAGATCTACTGATTTGTTGGATTCCTGTTGTGCAAAGAAGGGAATATGTTTATAGTACACAACAATACATGGACTGTCTGTGAATTTCTGGGCTGGATAGGCTAAGAAAATAAATAACAAATAGGGCACAAGACACTAATTTTCAGTTGATGGTTAAACATGATTTTCTCTGTTAAAGCAATATGATTTCATAAAGCTATTGCATGTTCATAATAAATAGAGTATTATAAGCAAAATATGGATATTACTGTCTTCACTAAAGAGATAAAACAACAAGCATCCTGAACTCTGTAAAAAGTAAATGTGCAAGCAAGGCATGCTGCTGTGGCAACAATGAGCATCACTCTTGAAGCAATCATCCTATCATCTTTAGCCATCTGTATTTTTTTCTACTCTGTGCCTTTATAGCCTGGTTTCTTGACATGCACTTCTTTGCCTGCCTGGAAGCTCCTTCTCCACTGGTTAGCTTTCATAATGCCAGAAGTTGCTATGTAGGCACAAAGGAGAGAAAAACCAGCAGTGGTCTTCACTAGCTTTTGACCTTACATGCTGCAATACCAATTTGCCAAGCACGAGGTGCTTCCCTGTGCAACAGCGGTACCACTGTTATATGGGCAGCCAACTGACTTATGACTGCAGCTGAGGGCCAGCACATGGGAAGACGTTCATGTCTGGTATGTGGACCTTATCAAAGACTTATGACTGGGAAGACCATAGGCTTTAGGAATTCACCTTCTACTTTTGTTCTGCTAATTGGTCATATCGAGCTGCCTCTTACTGTGTTTTTTCCCCCCTTTTAATAGCCATAGACGACTCCTGTCCTCACCCTTGATCAAAGAAATTTCCATTTTAGCAAACAGCCATTCATGCAGTGCCTCCTGGCTGGTCAAGGTGCTCAGAAAAAGTGACTATTGACTGCTCATCCTTAAGTGGGACACCCATATTACTCACTCAAAGCTCCAAGAACATTATGGAAGAGGGGATAAAAAGAATATAAGATCCAAGTGATAAGGAGAAGGACTGTTAAACACCGTCTTATGGGTATGACCTGGCCATGGTACTCATGAACTCTCAGCAAGAGAAGTTGTCTGCATAGGCCTGTACAAGACTAATTCTTAGATGAGAAAGAAGCCAGGGGATCTGCTGGCGGAGGCGTACTGGTGGAGGAAATCATTGTCTTTAGTGATGTGACCACTGAGATGCATGGTAGATAGGCCCTTTACCAACCTAGCTATATCCTCAACCTCTTGTTTTTCTATTTTATTAGTCAATGTTAATAATAAACTTATTTTAATTTTGATCTGCAACATAGGTGCATTGTATGTCAATAGACAGTGTCTTGGTGGCCTGAACATACTACGAAGCAAAGAAAAATTAAACTTTCTTCCCCCCTCTCTCTTCAGTCTGAGGCAACTGGAAGAGACTGAATAGCCTGGAGACCATATAATAAAATTAACAACCGTGAAGCCTGGCTTTACTTGTGCTTTTCTCTTCTCTTCACACCTTAGAAACTCATCCTGTGCTCAATGCTGTGAGGCTTCCCTTCCCTGGCATGCTAGTGTTTGTCTACATGGTAAGCAGAACTGTGCAGACAGAGGGAACTGGATGAGTCTCTCTGAGTAGCTGGACATGTAACAGCAACATGCAGAGCCAGTAGTCTTAAGATGGTTACTCATAGGCTGACCATGAACACCTAAGAAACAGAAAATAAATCCACAGAAGATGTAGGAGGCAAAGATAGACCTCCAGTCTTTCTACACAGGAGTTCAGTACTCCAGGTGGCCCAGAAGCATTCTAAATCCCACAAACAGAGCTACCCAGTGTGACTCTTTCATATTCTTTATAATAAATCCCTCTCTCACCTTTGCTTGGATGGACTTAAGTTGGTGTCTATAACTTGCATCCACAGAGTTCTAATTAGTGAGCCTGCAGGTTCTGTCTACATGAGCCAAATCTTCTAATCCCATTGGTACTTTTTTCTTGAGTGCTCAGTCTGCAAACTGCCAATATTTTTGCTCAGAGACTACCTTTACAAACATAGTCTCATGGCTTGTGTCCCTTGAGAGCAGGTGACACTTCATACTGGATGCTAAGGTGAACAGATGGAATGCAAATGACCTCATTTTTCTTTAGCTAGGGCCAAGCATGGACAAGTTGCCAAGCTGTCCCAAACAGGGTGTCCTTCCCCACACACTTTTCATATTGAGTAGCATTTTGTGCCCCCATTTTCTACAGGTCTACAGTTTTTCCATTCCACACAGCATACATAGAATAAGCCGGTCATGATAATGTATACTCACTGTTTCCAGAACAATCTTTCCTTGAAGGTATAATAAGGAGTTTTATGTTGGGATATAGACTTCCATACATCCACTCATATTTTCATAATATTAACTTTACTACATACAATGAATGATAATGACTCTGCTAGACATTGCAGTATACTCTTTCTATAAATATCCTCATTTAATTCTAATAACTCTATGATATAAGTACAGGTATTGCTCTACTTTATAACAAATATGTAGATATGAAGTAAAAATAGAAAAATTACTCAAACATTTGCTACAGACTGTCTATGTCTTCCTAAAATATATACGATGAAGCCCTACCTTAATGTGATATTAAGAGGTAGTTAGCAGGTAATTAGATCATGGAGGTAGAGCCTCACAAATGGAATCAGTGTCCTTATAAAAGTACAGAAGAGACCTTGCTTCCCTTTCTCTCTGCCCTCTGTGCTGTGAGACTATGAGAAAACAACTCTCATTGGAATGCAACAATACTGGCATTTCTCAGCCTCCAAAAGTATGAGAACTAAATTCCCACTGTCTAAGCCACTTGTCTATGATGCTTTTTGCTATGGAAGCCCCAGCGAAGAGACATTTGACTCTGTAGTTATCCATCCACATAAATTACCACATTATACTACTTATTGTTTAATGGTGTTACATCCATAAAGTATAAATTCCTTTATGACATGCTCTATAGTTTATTCATTTTATTAAATCCATGGACCAATAAATACATTATTGAAGTAGCAGAAATAGGAGTTTAATGAGTGATGAAAATAAATGACTTTATCCAGGAAGCAATATTTCAGTTCCATTTCTTTTTCTTCTCAGAATGGCTTTGACCTTTCCCAGCCTGTTACTTATTTGCAAAGGGATGTTATAAATGTGCCTACCTTGGACCATTACAAATATTCTCATGAGCATGTTTCTAAATTAATTTTAGATCATATGTATTGTTGACAAATGAGCCCAAAATCTTACATTGGGGAAGGTGAATATGACCTAACCGTACAAGTTCATTTAAATTTGAAAGAATTATAAAAGGTGACTTGTATTCAAATTAGATTATCCTCTGCATACAATCATAGTATAATCTGTTCATTGTCTCAGTTTAAAACTCAAAATAAAAAATGTAAATATTGGAAGTAGCTATTTTTGTGCCGTGTGTACTCGGTATGTCCTTTGCAAGAAAGAAAAATGAATAAATAAGGCAATGATTTGTGATGACTCCAATTTTCTGCCCTTGATAGGAAGCAGATTGCATCTATCCTCATCTTCCTGGGGTCATGAATGCTCCTTGCTCTTGAACCAGCGGCCACTCTGGATGATCTCCCATTGTAGCATCCTCCTCCACATGCAGGGTACTTAGTGAAAGTGTTCCTGAATGTTATCTCTTCTACTTTACTCTTTCCTCATGTCATAGCTTCTCTAGCATCTGCTTTAAATGTTTTGACAATTGGACTTCAATTCCATATCTCTTGTTGAGACCCTTATTTTGATGGCTAAACTTAAATTTCTAAGTAGCCCATGGGCACCTCCCCTTGGGTGCCTTTACAGCATCTTCAACCAGTAACTCTGAAGTCCAACTTATCAATGTCTCTCTATCTCACTGCAGGCCATGAGTTTCCTCTTAACTGTGTGTTTTTTATCACCCAGGGCCAAATTGAGACAGCCACATTCAACTTTTATTTCCTTAGTTCATCTCTCTTAACTATTTTTCTGGTTCAAATGAATGAAACTCAGAAAGAAAATTGCAATACCTTTAATTCACATTTCATTCCAGTGGTATAATTAAAGACTTTTACCTTTAAGACTTAAAAAAATTGACATTGAAACTCTGTTACCTAATATTTCTATAGTTAACCTTGTCCCGTAAAGCTTATATGTGATCCTGACATTCCACAGAAACCTTTACTGCACTTTGTGGTTAATAGAAAAGGTATCTAATATTGCATTAAAAATTGGACTCTAGCTGTAGTTTGTCTTCTTTCTGTCACTCTAAGTTTCTTCTTTCTCTCCACCCTCACACCATTCCATGTGCTTCATCTTTATCAGATTCCATGCTATGGCCCAGCAGTAAATGAACACAGCATACTCTTCACTTATGTTATTTTCTACATGTGAAATAAATCTCACTGTAGAGTGATTTGTTCTGCTGAAGAAATTCATGAAAATGAAGTCCAAGTTACAATGCTGTTTAAAAGTCTTTCCAGACTTTCTTCAGATATTACAACATAGGAAGAAGTCTTTCATGCCTGGTCTCTTAAAATATCATGCAGATCCTTTCTCATGACACATGACACCCCATATTGACTTATATTTGTGTCTCCTTTATTATACTGCAAGAGTGCCTTGCCCTTATATGTTGACTCTGAATAGTCTCTAACATAATATCAAATACTTAAATGTTTCTAAGTTAACAGTTGAAACAATAATTGATTACATAAATGATAGAATCAATAGTATACCCTGCTGAGTAAATGTTCTTATCAAGTAGTAAAAATCTATGACAAATACTTCAATAAAACTATCTGTTTACTATAAAATAAAATTAAAAATTACAGTAATGTTAAAAACTATATATTGTATGATTTAGGGCAAGATATGTAGTGGGTAAGAGGTCTTTGTGCACACAAATAAGTACTGGAGAAGCTAGAAAAGTTAAACACACAGGCTTGTCTCTTCAGTGGAAGGAGATGTTTGTCTTTCTTTCTCCTGGAATGTTGGGAAAGGATGTAGTTTACAGCCTGGTGATCATTTGGTATCTGTAGGGCCAAGCTTCACCCCTGTCCTCCAGAATATTATTTTTGTTTATCCCAGACTTTCCCCCACTAAATCTTCAGTATTTCTTCTAGGCCATAAAACCTATCCTTATGAGTGACATCACTTGTACTTTACAACAGCCTAAGTAAATTCTATGTTGTTTTAGTGCCAGACCAATCCTGACTCCCATGGGCATTATGTTTACCTCAGTCATTCTCCTTAGATCCTAAATCTTGAACACTGCTTCGGAGTCAACAGTACCCACTGTTATAAAAGAAGCCAGACCATTTTATAAAGAATTTCAATTTAAACATGTTTTAAGCTTTGTGATACTCAGGGGACTGAGTTAATTGCCATCAGAAAACTTTTTTCCAAAATTGTGCTATGGTTATATATGGCTAAAATCAATGACCTGCGGTCAGACTCCAGAAGTCTGTCCCAGCACTAGCTAACTAAGTTGGGCTGAACTGAGTTTCATTCTCACCTCACCAGGATCGTTTTCCTGTTAGCCTGGTGCTTGTAGGGACTCCCACAAAAATAATCTCAGAATATCAAGAGCCTTTCTCATAAGCCACAATAGGACATGTGTTCTTCTCAGAGCAGAGGCGCTTCTACCATTTCATTCTGATGTCTGTTGGCTCACTGCCAGCTTTCTTTCCACAGCCAAAGTAGGACAAAGAAACCAAACGCTGACCCAGGGGATAATGACTAAAGTGAAGGCTTAATGACCTATTCCTGAAGACAAATAAGATCCTAGTAGGGAGCTATTTAATTTTCGTTTCCGTTGCTGTGATAAAATAACCCCGACAAAAGCAGCTCAGAGGTGAAAGGGTTAATTTCAGCTCTCAGTTCCAGGTTACAGCTCATCATAGCACAGAGGTCAGGGATACAGGAGCTTTAGAGCGTCGGTCACATTTGGAGCAGAATGTCATGAATGCATGTATGCTTTTACTCCTCATCCAGGGCCTAGTCCATAAAATGGTGCTGTCCACACTCAAGAGTGGGTTATCCCACCTCAATTAACTCAGTCAAGGAAATCTTTCACAGCCCAACCCAATTAAGACAACACCTCATTGAGGTTCTCTTCCAGGGAGATTTTACATTATGTCAAATTGTCAATCAAAACTAATCATTACAAGAGTGAGTAGAGGGATAGTCTCATAGTACTAATCCATGCAGTGCTTCAGTTGACTCTTGAATTCAGAATTAAACAAAACCCCCCAAACCATGTAAATGCTTAGGAAACATTGCAGTAGCATAGTAATCAGCTCATATAAGAAAGTTTGCATTAATATTACTCATATATCAACTCCATGCTTTCTTGTGATTATAGTTCACTTTTATGCCCAGTTATGAAGGCAGAAGCTCAGAGGATGTTACGTAACATTTTAGCTCCATGAACTACCAAACTGACCTTCATTTTATCTTAAGTCAGTGTGCTAGCTGGTTTTATATTAACTTGACACAAAGTATAGTCATCAGAGAGGAAGGAGCCTCCATTGAGAAAATGCCTTAAAAAAACGGGCTGTAGGCAAGCCTGTAGGGCATTTTCTTAATTAGGGATTGATGGGAGAGGGCCCATGCCAGTGTTGGTGGGGCCACCCCTGGGCTGGTGGTCCTGGGTTCTATAGGAAAGCAGGCTGAGCAAGCCATAGGGAGCAAGCCAGTAAGCAGCACCCTCCGTGGCCTCCAGGTTCCTGACCTGCTTGAATTCCTGCCCTGACTTACTCCAATGGTGATTGGCAGTGAGTAAGCCAAATAAACCCTTTCCTCCCTAAGTGACTTTGGTCACTATTTTACCACAATAGTAACCCTACCTACGACAGTTTGCTCACTTCAGTTTATTTAGAAAATAACTCGAAATGCTAGTTTGACAGTGCTATTAGCGTAATTGTATTTAAATAAGCATGCCATTTACCTAGTAGTTTTACTCTTTTAGTTACATCAAATCATTTTTGCTTTAAGAGGAAGTCATACCTAATTTGTGTTTAAATAATGACTTCCTTATGAAGTACACTGCCAAAAGGGAGAAAACTTCTGATATCTTTGTATTAGCTCAGAACTACATATTTTCTGATTAAATAAGTCTGTAGGACACACAGCTAAGGAAAGTAGAGCTATAAAAGGTAAATGCACTTTGGCTGGCCTTTTAAAGTTAGGCTATGCCTCAAAGCTTGTAATAAAAATAAAAATAAAAAAGACATGTGACTGAAGAGCTAAACCCAAATCCCAAATGTATTGGTTAAGCCCCTCCCAAGTTTTCTCCCAGAAAAAACTGCATAGCAAGCATTCAAAATGTCAATTCTAGCAGACATCTTCCTATGACTAACATTAAAAGTATTTAAATAAACTTGGCAAAATCAGCCATGTGCCACGATCTCCCCAGTGTATTTGCAGGAACAGGCTGCTAACAGAATGTCTCTGGACTTGTGACCCCCCAAACAACTATAGACCAGGTGGAAGCTATTCATTATGGTGTCTGAACAGACTGCTGAACACCCTCAGTGCACCATAAATGTGGGAACTGTACGTCCAGAAGGGCAATAAACTCACTGGGTGACACATGAGCTAGAGTTTTCAACCCCTGGCTTTAGTGGCAAAACTCTGCCCATTTTTAATCTTGCTGCAGAATATATCAGATTGTTTATGGTTTTGTAACTTTGGAGACAAACCAAGGAAAAATGGCAATAAAAAAGGCAAAACCATAGGCACTGAGGTTATTGTTATGTTTTAAAATTACAGTCTTGTGGGGAGTTGCAGCAGAAGCTAGAGGAGAATAAACGAGAAAACAGAATAATCAAATTATTGTTTTCCACAGAAACGTAGCCCTGGATACCCACTGTGGGTCAGCTCATTTGCATGGAACATATTGAAGAAGCGACAAATTGTACTAAGAAAGCTGTGAGTTATCATTATTAATTGGAACTAAATGTATCAACACAGTCCTTTGATAATTTATAACTAATAGTTAGTTTACTGGTGAAAGTACGTCTTCCAGGACAACCAAGTCAGCTTAGATTACATGAAACTTTCCTTTGAATGAAAAATCCCAAACGAAGTTAATTTCTAAATTTATAATTGGGAAAGGAGTCTTCTCAGATTAAAGGGAAAGCAGTTTGGGTGTGGGAGTCTGGTCCAAACATACAGTGGTTCTGGCTGCTCAGGAAGTGCCAGGCATCACTCACATCATGTCCAAGAGCCCTTTTGCATCCCAGCAACAAGCATAAGACTCATTACTCACAGTTCTCTCGGACAGTATTCCCATCCATCCACAGAAAAATCACATTCCTGGACATCAGCACGAGACATCTCAATCCCATAGATTCTCAGAATAATAACTTTGAGAGATGACGCACGACCAAAACTCATGAAATTTTCTTAAGAAATAAAACAAATGCAGAAACATAGAGCTAGATGGTAGATGAGAAGATGAAGTCTTTATGACTTACTGCCTATGAACATTCCAGTTTAAAGTGCCCCCCCCCCAGTAAGTGTGTCTATGTATGTGCGTCTTTGTATACATGTGAGTGTGAGTGCATTTGGCATATGCACATGTGTGTATAAGGGGGTGCTCATGCCTGTGAGAGCATGTGGGGACCAGAAGAGCAGAGAAGGATGTTTGGCGTCCTGCTCTTGTACTCTAAACCATATACCCTTGTTGGAATCTCTTACTGAAGCTGGAGCTAGGCTGGCAGCCAGAAAGTCCTAACAATCCCCCTTTACTTACACCTTTCTCTATCCCCGACAGTGGGTAGAGCCACTCCCTAGCTCCAAGGATGACTTATTTCCTGGTGCTTTGCTTTCTCTCCCCTGGTAGTGAAATTGCTATGATGCTGTTTCACAGCTGTCTACTGGGGCTGATGATCTTCTTTTTTGCTCATGTAATGGACCTGTAGTTTTACTGTCACCTTAGTTTTACTAAGAACGACCTGGAAGTCAAAATTGATGGGACACTGGTTAGAAGGAAAATCATGATGAGGAGAAAAACATTACTAGGCACCTTTTGTGACCAGCAGCTTATAAAGGACTTGACATGAGAAATCAGCATCAATTGCTGGCTTCATTCTAATGTTGCTAAGTGTTAGGGATGTTTTCATTTGAACTAATGACTATGGATTTCAAAGATTTTTTTTCTCCCTAAATTCTGCATCAGGGCCACAGATTATGGTTTCTGTAAGATGTCCATGTGTAGCTTTAAGAAATACAGAACTTAATGCATGAAGATTTTTAGATATATGTTAAGATAATAAATTTTATACCGATTCAAGACTAAGGCAAGAACAGACTAAAGAGATTTACACTTAAAAGTTACATCAGTTTGTAGCAACTTCATTTCCTTAGCTACGGGGTGATGGGGTAGGGGGGGGGGAGTGGCATCTGTCTTACCAGCTAGTTGACTTACATGGATGTAATTGTTATAAAATGCCATAGATGGTGTAACTGTTGCTATTAACATTCATTTTTAAGAGCCATCTCAAAGAGCAAAGTTAACCCTGCTAATGGTACATCCATGTCATTTGTTTGTTTGTTTGTTTGATTGGTTGGTTTTTTGTTTGTTTTGTTTGTTTGTTTGTTTTGAGACAGGGTATCTCTCTGTCACCCTGGCCACCCTGGAATTTACTCTTGAACAGGCTGGCCTCAAACACATATAGATCCATCTGCCT